CACTGGAAGATGTGTCGTTGGGATTGAGGAGGTCTTTGAAATATTCTGCCCACCGATCCACAATGTCCTGAGTAGAGGTCAGCAGCACACCGTCCCCACTATAGATAGTGTTGGTAGCGCACTCCCCCCCCCCCCCCCCCCCCCGCTGAGGTGCCGGATGGTGGACCAGAATCTCTTTGAAGCCGTACGTATGGTCTTAATTTTGGCCCCCATACCGCGCCATACGTACGGAAGTCTTGCTCCAAGGTATCACCGAACTCCTCCCATGCCCGGGTTTTGCCTTGGCGACCACCAGAGCCGTGTTCCGCTTGGACTGCCGGTACCCGTCAGCTGCCTCTGGAGTCCCACAGGCCAAAAAGACCTGAGAAAAACCAAAGAACATTTGAAGTTGTGTTGGAGGTGGGAACTCAAGCTCCTTCTGACAGGAGACTCTGCTAGACGTTCCCAGCAGACCCTCGCGTGGGCCTGCCTGGTCTGACCGGCATCCTCCCCCACCATCTGAGACAATTCACCACCAGGTAGTGGTCAGTTGACAGCTCGGCCCCTCTCTTCACCCGAGTGTCCAAGGCATGCGGCTGCAGGTCAGATGAAACAACAACAACAAAGTCGATCATTGGGCTGCGGCCTAAGGTATCCTGGTGCCAAGAGCACATATGGACACCTTTATGTCTGAACATGGTGTTTATTATGGACAATCCATGACTGGCACAGAAGTCCAATAACAAAACACCACTCTAATTCAGATTAGGGGCCGTTCCTCCCAACCACACCTCTCCATGTCTCTGTCGTTGCCCACATGAGCATTAAAGTCCCCCAGCAGAACGAGGGATTCACCGGAAGGAGCGCTTTCCAGCACCCCCTCCAAGGTCTCCAAAAAGGGAGGTTCTCAACCTCACACACCAACTCAGGCTCCTTCCCCACCAGAGAAGTGACATTCCATGTGCCAAGAGCCAGCTTCTGTAGCCGAGGATCAGATCGCCGAGGTCCCCGTCCTCGACTACCACCCGTCACACACTGCACCCGACCCCTTTGGCCCCTCCCACAAGTGGTGAGCCCATGGGAAGGGGGACCCACGTTTCCTTTTCGGGCTGTGCCCAGCCGGGCTCCATGGGTGAAAGCCCAGCCACCAGGCGCTCGCCAACGTGCCCCACCTCCAGGCCTGGCTCCAGAGGGGGGCCCCGGTGACCCACGTCCGGGCGAGGAAACACGGTTTCCATTTATGTAATTCATCATAATGAATTGATCTAATTGATCATTTAATATATATGAAGCGAATCATTAGCAAATGGGAGGAAGAAAAACATCTTCTGCAAATTCAGTTAATTGAAAACAGCAGAAATAGGACGTTTTAAAGCTGATCAAAGCTTACGGACAAGACCTCAAGAAAAAAGGTATACTTTAATTTCAGAAAAAGGTGAGTTTATCCTTTTATTCAATGCTTCGATGTATTATTAATATTACAGTTATAGAGAGAATTTGTATTGGCTAATGTTAATGTTGTTAACAATTACATTTTACTATCTAGTTATTAAACAATATTATAAGAACAGAAAAAAAGAATGCTTACAAACTGTAGTACTCAGATCCTCCACTAGATGACAGAAGCCATAATTAGGATTTGATCCAGCAGATTACTAAAGGAATTATTAAGTACTAACCATGTTTAGGAGGTAGAGGTCTTGAAAACTGAGCAATAGGCATCTGATATAATTTTGTGCTATTTAACCTGCACTATTCAGGTTAATTAAAGATGCAATAAGTAATATTGAAGTAAGAATGACATCCTTTGGTCAAATGTGAGTACTGCAATCCATTTTTATGAACAAAAATGCATTTAATTAGCAACGTTCCGTGGGATTCATTGCTGTTGCCAGTTACGGATCAGTGCCAGAAGATTCTGGATGACAAGCAAAGACAAGTCATATACCGTACGTTGATAAATAGATAGTAAAGGCTCAGAGTTCACCTGATAACAATACATTAGGGAAAAACAAGTGACCTAACTGACCCATCACGTTATTTAACACCGCTCCACAGGGGGAGCGTGATAAGTGTGCAGAGCGGGAGTCCGTGGTGAAACAATGGGCAAGTAATGGAGGCTATCACAGGGAGCAATAAACCCATCTGTGACGCAGATAGGGCATGCAACTCTAATTAGTGTGTTAGCATGAAACACAAGCACTCGCAGTTTTTGAGCGAACTGACGTACCTTCACACAGTGCAGAGGAAATCAGCTTGTTAAAGCCTAATTTATACTTCTGCAACGCCATTATGCATTGGCGCAAGAGCTCTCTGACTAGCTCGCAGAGGAAACCCTCCAGTCTGCTGCAGTTTCTCTGTTCATCTGATTGAGCGCTGAGTCTGCTGTTCTTGTGTTTGTGTGCATGTGCGCTTGTTAACTGCTCTAACTGCCCCGATGCCTCCTTTGGGCAAATTTTTCAAATAGGAAATGTGGGTGAATTAAGACTTGAAACAGGGGTTACCCACCCTTTAAAGCTTCTTTCCGGAGTATTTCTCTTATCCAATGGCACCATCTAGTGGCTGACAAGCATATCACACAAAAACTCTGTTGCTTTGTTTGTTTAAAGAGCAAGTCGCCCCAAATCAACTTTTTTTCCTGATCAACTGTATAAATACGTGTCTAATCGTGCTGCAGACACATGTAGTCAATAGTTTAGCACTTTAGTGCATTTTAGTAGAATTTTTAATTTTCTGCCTAAAACTGTCAGTGTTGTGCCGTTGTCAGGTAAAAACTCTGCACTGCATTTGAATTTAAATCTGCCATTGCTATTGGCTAAGAGCTACCCTAGAACGTTAGCTGAAACCATATGATGTCACAATGTCATTGTGGGCCTGTGTGTGTATTTGTTAGTGGCTCCACCCTCTCGGTCTGCTAGGCAACAGCATTTATCGCATTTTCCAAACAGGAAGTGGGAGTTGAGTAAGAATCTGGTAGGGGTTGCCTTGCTCTTCAAGATGGCGACTTCACGTATCTGTTTATAAATGAGCTTCTGTAGCCGACAAACAGAGCTAAAACACGTTGTTTTGTGAGTATTGTTCTCATGTCATGTTGTGTTCTCATATTTTAGAGACGTACTTGTCCGTGAAAAGTTCATCAACTCTGCATCAGCCTTGGTATTCCTTAAATTTGAAGCAAGTAAGCGGTAGTCTAACGCTATGGTTTAAGCTTTTCCAGTCCAGTCTGAACATAATCAAGTGCTTGTAAGATTAGGACAGGTGAGGTAATGAAAAATAGGTGTGGATGACCACTGACTGGAGAGCTGAGAAACATTTAGACACAAGGGAAACTAAATCACAAGGAAAATAATTCTAACCTAAAGGGACACAAACCAAACCAAAAAGAGGCAAACCTATGAAATTACCTTTTTTTTAATGTACAACACCTTCCTGGTTCTACAACCCCCCCCCAAGGCACATCGCAACACAACCAGTCATTCGCCCACCCACACACATGCTGGTGGTGATGAGCTACATTGTAGCCACAGCTGCCGTGAGGAGAGGGCGAGGCTGCTGTACGTCAGTCTCTCTGACCACCACCACAGGGAAAAGGGGTTAAGTGTCTTGTCCAGTCTTGCCCTGGTGGGAGACCTGCTCTACCTCCTGAGCTACTGATGTCCCACACAGCAGTAGCTCAGGTGCTGATGACAAAGGCCTGACCTTAAGTGTCTTGCCCAAGGACATGACTGCAACAGACTGAGTGGGAGTTGATCCCACAACCCTCCAGTTATGAGATGGACACTTGCCTCCTCAGCCACCATTGTCCCAAGTAAACCAAACTAAAAAAGAAAGAATCCACATAAAAATAAAAACAACTACGTAGAATTTAACGTTTCACGGATAAGAGCAGCATGCTTGTTTCAAATTTGCAGCCAGAAGGTTCTGGGCTTGAATGGGACAAAAATATTGCAGTAAACTTCTACAACTTTAACAAGTTTTACTTCCAAGTTAGTTTTAAGGGGTTACTTTTGAATAAAAACTAAAATTAATGTCATTTTCATGCAACTTCTTTGCTTAAAAATACCTTTCTTTCAAATTCCATCATACACAGCAAATGATGCACTGTAAATTTTTATTTTATAAGTGGTTAATTTTGTTTAATAAAACAAAAATTTCCTTTTAACAAAACCTAATTAGATACTTTGGCCCAAACATATTTTTGCCTCAATTTTTTTAAAGAATTTCACGGCATAAATAAAAATGAAATATTTAATAAAATGCAGAATTATCAAACCACTGAAATAAATAGTGGGACACTCTGAGATGATGCATGTGTGTGAGCGTGCCATTAATTCTGTCTCAGATCCTGAGGGATTTATGAACAATGTCAAGTTCCCTCTGCAGACCTGAGTCTCTTCACTGCCTCTTAAAGCTTAACACACCCTGACTGAGAGGCACAGCGAGAGCCACACTCTCTCTCTACGTGCTGCCGATAATGCTAAGAACAACCTCTCAATTCCAGCTCTCCTCCTCACCCAACGTGCCCTCCGTCCTCCGCTGCACCACACGCGGCCAATTCCATCCAAAATGCAGGAGTGGGTAATGGGACAGCGCCGACATCGTCTCTAATGGTTTCCCATTACAGGAGAGGTTCCAAGCGTATGCAAATTTATGTAAACCCAACAGAAACACATATTTACAATAACACAGGGTAATCACAATATGACGACATGGTGCGCTGGTCTTGTAGATGGAAGCGCCATGCCTCACTAGTCTCCTTTATCTCTTTTCTGTTCTTCTGCAGAAAAAATGATTCTGGGTAAAGAATAAAAAGGATCTGCAGACCCAAAACAAGAGGTTTTCTGCCCTCACAGCTCAAGTTAAATGTTAAAAAAGAAAATCTACACGTGGAATTATTTCAGTTAATTCAAATGTTTTACTTGAATGTCAGTTCTGATGATTTCTTACCTTCAGAGAAGTTCAAAAGAACAAAATACTGCAAAAGCAGAAAAAAAACATAAATATGGAGGAACGACACCAGCTGTTGCTCGGTTACTTTTTGTTTTATTCTGCTTTGTTGTGGGTTTATGCATTTAATTAAGGTCAAAAACAAAGAGATAATGTTAGAGTTCACATACTATTAATCCTTATTTTAAAACATTCAGGTTGTGATTTTAGTTCTAGTTGCCATAAATGTAATATAATCATAACACAACTGCTGGTGTAACAAAGAAACATGTCAAACATTAAAAAGTGCAAATCATACATCAGTTTCCCCTGATGTTCACTAGCAGGCTCTTATTTATATTTTTTGGTTTTTTTAACCTTTATTTTTTAACAGAAAATTTCTGAGATGTTCTCGGTTACTAAACCGACCTGGCCAGATGTCTCGGAGAGCTAAATCTTGTGACTTTGATAAGTCAAAACAAAAAGCTAAAACTCCTTAAAGCATTAGACATTAGTAAAAAAATCCAGCTTCATTAAATCAACCATTATTAGTAATAACTAAGTTCCTATTGGTTCCAAAGTGATTCATACATTTCAGTGCTTATTATTGTCTTAACCAGGCGTTATTAAGCCAACACTCCTGTACAAAATGTGCAGCGTTTCACCCAGAAGGCACTTTAGCGAGGACGCGCTGGTCCCAGCATGAGGAACGCTGTCGTTCTCTACTTCCTCTTCTGTTTGACGAGGTGTTCCACCTCCTTCATGAAGCGCAGACACACCTCATCCTGCCACGGCAGGGCCACACACTGCACGGCCACGGGCAGACCCTCGGCTCCAGTCACAGCCTGCACACACACACACACACACACACTACAGTCTCTGTCTCCGCCTGCTGACCAAAAGTGGAACTGCTGAAGTCCTGACGGCACAGGTGAGTGTGTCCTCAGGACTTCTGCTGCTCCATTAAGATAAAAGATAAAACACCGTCTAAAGCTGCTACTGCATCAGTCATTTAAATAAATTCAATTAAATCATTAGAAACAGTGTGCTTGTTGCCTCCTGCAAAACTCCTGATCTTCACCTTTTTGAGCAACTTATCCATTTTGTCCTGAAACACGCCCTTGTAGTGTTTAAGTTCTTCCTCATCATCTGCCGTCACCGTGGAAACAGGAACCACACCAGCAGGGAAATTGAGGAGGTTGTAAAGAGCTGTGTAACTGAGGATAGCTGAAGGGAGAGAAATATTTATTTTAATAAACTGAGCTTTGTAATTAATGATAAAGGTGTCCACATGAACACAAAGACAGCCCTTTGCTTCATTATTAATCAACATACCTGAATTATTAGAGCAGCAATGCGATCTAATGATTTATTGTTCAGGAAATTCCTAAATTCAGACAAATTTGGTCTCAGATTTGGGGATTTTATGAGAGTGCAAATGAATAAAGCATGAAAAATAATAAATGCAATTGTCTGCAAGTTGAGGAGACGGACTGTGGTGCCTGACGTGTCTTACTTGAAATTTGGCCACAGTAAGAAAAGTTGTAGGCTGGTCCGATCACAGGGCACAACACCACATCTATGTTGCAGCTCCTCCAGTGTGCTATCGTCTCAGAAATGTAGTCCTAACACACACACACACACACACACACACACACACACACACACACACACACACACACACACACACACACACACACACACACACACACACACAATTTAATGTCATATATATGCACGCATCAGAAGCTTACAGCATACAGCACCTCTACAGCAGCATGCTGCTTCCACAGATCTGGGATGGATCTAAAAACCAAACAAGCCACAGCAGGAATCAGTGACCTGTAGTCCTGCAGTTATGATGAGAGAGAATACAGCAAATGTTTCTCACTTCAGTCCACTGACAGCATCCATGATGAAAGGGAATCGAGGAGACTGCAAAAAATATAAATAAATAAATAAATAAATAAAAAGAATGGAAGAAAACATAATCACAACACTTTCAAACTGGGTACTAGAGAATCCTCGTATTCTGATCCGTTGTTATTCATGTCAGAGGGAGAGGACTCACAAAGGGCTTGAGAAGAAACCCGATGATTCTCTTCAACCACTTTGGTAATGAGTACAAATTAATCTGAACCCGAAGACAAGGGTCGATGGGTCCGCCCTTCCTGAAACACAATCAGAACGGTTCCTTCTCACAGGTATACATCTGTACGCTGATGTACATAAAATTAACATCAACCCTTAAACTTATAAACCTTTAACCGTCCAAAGATTTCCTGGAACGTAGCCATACACACTTCTGCTGAGAACTTCTGCTATATTATCAGCTAACGATTAACCTTACAGTCTTCCTTGGCAACATCCTACAAATCCAACACGGCCAACCCAGTACACATGTTCAAACAACAGAACAAACTGAGATACACTGGGACAACTTACAATTTTTGGACCATGCTGGTGGCGCCGTCTGCAAAAATACCCTTGAAAACGAGTTCAGTCATGATCTTGCTTACCCTCAGAGGTTGGTAAGGCACCAGCTGAAAGCACAGAGGGTCATGAACCCAGAACCACATGTCGTTTACACATCTGAGAGTGTGTGTGAGGTGGCCGTACAGTGTGTCCTGCTTGTTCCAACAGAGCTTTGACCTCTCTGATACCGCGGGCCATGCTCGGCGTGGGCTGTGAGTATCCATCACTCTCCAGGTAACCGATCCTCAGAGGTTTGGAGCTCTCGTAGAGCTACAGGAAAAAGTCAAATTAAATTCAGAGAAAGCATGTGTTTACGATGATTAGATATAATAATATATAACATCTTTTCCCATACGTTTTATAGAATTCTTTTGGTTTTACGTATTTTATAAAGTCTTGTTTTGCTGTGATTAAATGAGACTAAGAGAACTACACTGCACTGCTAAAAAAAGTCTCCTCTTGGATTTAACTAAGATACCAGGTAGGAGCCTCCTATTGGATAACTACTGTATGGGTGATAATCTTTCAGCTGGCAGCAAGTTATTTAACCCCAACTGGTGCAATGAGTTGCTTCTCGTTACTTAAACAACCATGTGGAAAGACACATCTGGTGGTCGTGGAGAAGATGTTAAAAGGGTCAGATCACTGGTACGCATCAAGCAGAGAAAACATCTAAGGAGATTTTAGAAACGACTAAAACTGGTTTAAGAACTGTCCAACACATTATTAAAAACTGGTCTGATGCATCCAGATGGACCCTGTTCCAGAGTGATGGTGCATCAGGGTAAGAAGAGAGGCATGCCTAGTGCCTACTGTACAAGCCTGTGGGGGCAGTGTTATGATCTGGGGTTGCTGCAGTTGGTCAGGTCTAGGTTCAGCAACAGGATTTGCTCCAAGAATGAGGTCAGCCGACTACCTGAATATACTGAATGACCAGGTTATTCCATCTTCCCTGATGGCACGGGCATATTCCAAGATGACAATGGCAGGATCCATCAGGCTCAGATAGTGAAAGAGTGTTTCAGGGAGCATGAGACATCATTTTCACACATGGATTGGCCACCACAGAGTCCAGACCTTAACCCTATTGAGAATCTTTGTGCAGCGGTCAGACTCTACCATCATCAATGCAAGATCTTGGTGAAACATTAATGCAACGCTGGATGGAAATAAATCTCACAGAAGCTTATCGAAACAACTCCACAGCAAATCTGTGATGTAATCAAAGCTAAAGGCAACCCAAAGAAATATTAGAGCGTGTGGCATTATTGTTTGGGGGGTAACAACTTTTGTTTGGCCGGGTGGTGTCTCTAACTAGCAAGATTAGCACCTACAGCGTCTAATCCAAAAGAATTTATGTTTAATCATTCTGAGAAATCAGATACCTAATAAAAAGTACTGGTTGGTGAAAGATTCTCTCATGTGGGTAAACACAGCAGCACTTTTTAACCAATCTTGGCTGTGTTTTTAAAAGTGCTATATAAATAAAGGTGGTATGGTATGGTATCAATAAACCTGTGGGTCGTTTCTCTTCTCTCACGGCAAACATATTAAAATGTTCTGTACGTACCAAGTGGCGTTCGGAATTCACAAACAACCTCTATAATCCATCATTTGGAAGAAAAATGTTGAAAATACAGCTCAGTGACCTGAAATGACTTCTAGGATGACCTGTTTTTGGCACTCGAGGAGACTCGTGTTTTGCCAGGTTAATCATTTTAGTTTGTGCCATTTGATCGCCGAGTGTGACAAGCTTTAACCTCCTGAGACTCACTTTTTTATTTGGTGTGATTCAGTTTTGAAAACATGCTATTAGTTCAAAAGTCAATGAAACAATGTTGGCAAATGTCCTAAAATAAATGACTAATATTTATTGTTGTGGATAGGTGTTGCCTTGGGTCACGTGGTGTCGGTAATAGTAATAGTGATTGCTATCACCTGTGCAGGTGATGGAATGGGAGTGAGTGGGTGATGGGGGAAGTCGACTTTTTTGCTGACCGCTCAAGCTTAGAATGTTTCTTTTATTTATCACTGTTTTCAACGGATTTTAAGGCTTTGATGACAAATAAAGGAGTTTTTTAACCTGGAACTCTGACTTTGGAGTGGAACAGCGGGCGCGTTAACATTATTCCCCTATTCAGCTGCTCGGTGACTCAAAGGCTTGACAGTCGCCAATATTTATAAAACACAGTTCTGACTGGAAGAGGCTAAAATGCTATAGTGCAGGAAGTCAATGCCTTCTTACGAGGTTGCAGGTTCAATTTAAAAAAAAAGCTTGAAACATGTTAAAATTTGAATAATAATAAAAAATATATTTTATCTGACTTTTTCCAACTGTGGAAATAAACATAAAAAGGTGTTTGCAGCAGACGGACTCCTTACTCATAAAACAGTAAAATGTTCTTTTTATAATTTAAAAAATAGCATGAATGAAAAAACTTGGAACGTTTTAATGTTACACCGAGTAGAGGACACACCTGGACATTAAAAGGAACCGGTGGCACAGTGGGGTCCAAGGAGAACATGTGATCACAGAGAAGAGCCTGCATACACAGAACCAGACTGTCCACGTCCTTGGCCATGGGTCCAGTGGCTGAAAGCACTAATTAAGCAAAAGAAAACATGAAGTGTGTAATATGTAAATTAGCATTATTGCACAGGTCGATGTAAACTCTTTTATGTCTCCTTACCAGACTTTTGACCTCTGTAAATGGGTAGTAGCCCCTGTGAACTGAGCGTGATACAAAGGAAAGGTTAACCCAAGTCGCTGCAATAAAGACCCGTAAAACTGTCTGAAGCACCTGAGTCGACCCGCCGTCGGCTTGAAGCCACAGATCCCACAGAACGAGGCGGGAATACGGATACTCCCCCCGATGTCGCTGCCTATGCCAAGTATGGAGCCCCCTCCCCCAATGAGAGCCCCCTCTCCACCGGATGAGCCTCCCGAGGTCTTCTGGGGATTACAGGGATTAAGGGTCTGCCCGTAGATGGGGTTACTGCAGTCATAACTGAGGATGAGGCAAGAAGAGACAAACACAGGTGATTAGTGAGTAAACAGGGTTAAAATGTCTTTTCTGCAGGGTTTAGGTTAACAAATGCTACAGCTGATTATTACCTCAACAGCGCCTGAGGCAGGTTGGTCTTCACAAAGGGAATAGCTCCTTGTTTCTTCAGAACTTTAACGATCACGCTGTCGCCCTGGGCGGGCTGCTCCAGATTAATGACCACACCGCAAGTGCAGTCATGGTCCTTTAGATTAATGTTCAAATGGATACAAGAGAAAACAAGAGCATTAGATAATATCTACAGAGCTGACTTTTACAGAGAAAGAGCGTTTGTCTGCAGAGTCTCATTTAAATATCTACAAATACCTTATAAGCAATGTTGTCCTTGATGCTGATGGGAACGCCATACAGCAGGCCCTTCTTCTTGGAGCCAATGGTCTTCAGCTGATCCAAACTCTCAAGCAGAATCTCTGTGCAGCAGTTCAGCTTTTTGTGCACATTTAAAGTCTGTTTGAAAGGAAAATAGGGAAGCGACGGGCTAAGATTTGGAACGTCCATAAAGGGTCAATTTTCAGTCAAGGGTCAATATTGACCTACATCATCTACAGGAACAAGTCCACTATCTAGGGGGATTTTCTATTCCGTCTTCTACAGCCCAGAGACTCCGTTTTAGTAATCCCACTGTGATCTCCAGTACTGGGGTTTATGGTTACATGTTTAGTGACCCAGTTGTGCTAAGGTTAATGAGTGCCACCCGTTTGTGAATCTCCAATCCTCAGTTTAGTTTGTCTTTGTGTTTTGCCTGTGAGGAGTTTAGTTGGGGAGATTTCTAGCTTTCTAGTTGATAATTGTGGGTCTTTTGGTTTTGGTGATTGTTTAGGTTTATTCTTTTAGTAACATATTTGTGGTTGGTTTAGTTTAGAATTGGTGTGCTTCCCTTTTGGTCTCCTCTCTCTGGTTAAACCAGAGAGTCACTTGAAGTTGGTTATCATTTTGCCTTCTCCCTGTTTTAGCTGAGGGAGTTTATTTAGTTTAATTATTATAATATCCTTTATCCAACCATTTGTTAATAAACCTTTTTGAACCGCCATTTGTTAACCTCCTTCCATTCAATCACCACCATCATAACCAGACACCATCCCTCTGTATTAATTCCCCTTTGTTTTACATTAGTTTATTTTTCTCTGTGTTCTCCCCTCGCCACTCCTAGACGCCAGCGGGGACGTAACATATGGTTGAATGAACCAGATGTTATATGAATAATAATAATAATGTTTTAATTAATCTGTGCCAAGTGGTTTCTGAGGAATGTTTGGTAAAGCTACAACATGTCATTCTGATTCGCCAGGGTCATAACGTGGTGGATTAATAAAACTAGGATGACTTCCTGAGTTATTCAGTTTCCAACTGACACCTCGATTCGCCCAAATCGGGAAAAAAGCCTTTTTGAAACAACCTCCTTTGACCTTAAGTCAAAACCTTGCCACGACGCTGCAAGTGATTACAGAAACAACAGCTCTTTTCAGAGCTGCTTCACACCTAATCTGCAGACCCCGAGTTGCATCTCCTGGCTGGCTCACAAATTATGTAGTGTTAGGCTGTTTAGCATAACTACTGCATATTTAATTATGAATGATAAGAATAAATATGAAATATTTATATGGAATATCTATATTAGAAGAAGAAAATATTTTCTATAGCGCCTCTCAAGATTAAAAAATCACAAGGCACTTCACAAAAACAAAAAAAGTAAAAAAGAATTTAGAAAATGATTACAAATATATTTAAAATGAGCAAAAAATAGACAATTGTGATCAAAAAATGTAAAGAGAGAGAGAGAGTGAATAGGAAAGAGGGGAATCAGTGGATCCTGAGGAAGGCGGAATAGGTGGGGAGAGCAGAACAAGGAGAGGGTGATGAATGTCATATTAGTAGTTACGCTAAACAGCCTAACACTACAGATTCATACACAACATTTTGGGAAGTGTGGAACAACTTTTACCAAATACATAGGCAAAGAAACATAAAAACAGCTTTGATCCACTCTTATGAGAACCTTGGGAGTGCAATAAGAAAATAACAGAAAAACACTGATTATTATTCCTCAAAGCCTGATCTTTGTGGTGGTTTGTTAACAGAGGGCTGTGTGTTGAGAAGCGGTCTGTCTACTGGACCTTCTCCATGTAGGAGTAGAACACCTCCTCAGGGCTCAGCGAGTCCTCCTGCAGCCGCTTCGTCAGCTCAGACAGAGACAAGGACAGGATGAGAGCAGAGTCGGTGGATGGATGCTGGAAGATCAGCCACACACAAAGAAAATGCAATTAACAAATGAGTGTTGTGCAACAACTGGATCTTTTGCACACATATTCACTTTAGATTTTTTACATCATATATCTCAATGAAAGGAGTTATTTTTTTTGCGTAAAGCTTGGTTATGATAAACTACAGAAAACAGTAACTTGACAGGAGGATGCTCCACCTGTCCCATAGTATTTCTCCCTAAAACGTGCATATTTCGACTGTTCTGTATCTGTAATGCTAGAAATCTTGATATATTAAGGACACTTGTGCATCACTGCAGGTAAATACCGGGCTTTTAGGTGAACAACAGCCTGAAACGAAAATATTCTAAACACAAATCTGAAATTTGATGGAAAGGTGAAAGTTGTTTTCTTTTCCTGTGCAAGGTTGTGTTTGAGTCTGTTGCATAATGATTCCAAAGCTCGGAAATGCAAACGAACGTAACAACGTATGATGCTTTTGAACTAATGAAGGGCTCCTACCGACTGCCTGTAGCGGAGCACCGCCTGCTCTGCCCGGTGCAGGCTCTCCGTCCTCCGGGTCCTGGCTCTCTGGATCTTCTCCTTCGCCGCTCGGCGGGAGCTCACCGACCGAACCAGAACCAGCAGAGCTCCCAGTCCGCAGGCGGCGGTCGTCAGCAGACTCACTGTCCGCTTGTCCACGCTCACAGTCTGCAGAAACTCTTCCATCGTGTTCTTGAGTTGTTTTTAGCTCCCAAAGAAGGTCGGCTAAAGCTAGCGCGGAGAGTTGAATGAACACCTGGGGGTGTGTAGTCAAGGCTTTAAGCTGTGGGCGCGGTTAGTTTGTTATGAGAATACGTGACGTCATCTTTCCGCGCTGCTTCTAGGTTTAGACCATCGACATCATACATGTCTATGTTAGAGGGGTTAGACCTAATATTAATGTCGATGGGTTAGACTGTTGGTTTATTTTCTCCAAGTGAAGCTAATGCTTCTGGCCTTTACTAGTACACTAGTGCTAAAGCAAGTCGTGTACGGTAGGTGGCGCCAGAGAGCTGTACGCAGCTTTAGCCTGACCAATAAAAAATACAACTGCTGGATTTGGACTTTAGTCGAATACGTGTTTGGATTATTCCAAGTATCACTTATAATATCACCATTTTCACAGTCATGATTTACTATCATTACACAATATTAAGTGAAAAGAGGGCACCGTGAGAGCTGCCCCAACTGAACACACAACCTCTTAAACCTTCAATCAGAAAGCTACACACAAATTGGGGGGGAAGCGTTTCCTGGTCTGACGAGTCTCGATTTCAGCAGAAACATTCAGATGATCAGGTCAGGGTTTGATTTCAAAATCATGGATTCATCCTGCCTTGGATAAAGTGCTTCAGGCTGCTGCTGGTGGTGTTCTGTTGTCCCACTTTGAGCCTCAACGAAGTCTGGTTTGAACCCCACAGCCTACTGTTACTGACCGTCCCCATCCATTTATGACCACACGACCCATCTTCTGATGATGCACCATGTCACAAAGCTCAGATAATCTCTAACTGGTTTCTTAAAAGTGACGAGATTACTGGACTCCCAACAGCCTCCAGTCACCTGATCTCAAACCAGAACCGTTGGGATGAGTATCACACCATGCACATCTGACAAATCTACAAGAATTGGGATGTTATGTTGATATGAACCCAAACCACTGAGTAATGTTTAACAATTTGTTGAATCTATGACAGGAAGAATCAATGCATTTATGAAAGTAATCCTCAAGAACTAGAACTTCACAGCACACGTTTTGACTAGCAAGAAAAGACTGAGGACAGATGTGTTAATGAGGGCTGAAATTCCACTCTGTCTGCAAATAGCAGTTTACCCTGTAAAACTAAAAAGTTCTCCTGAATACCAGCATTTCCCTAACACTAGTCAAAATATCTCTTATGAAAATAGGCCAATCAGGTTTACAGACGTTTTAACAGGAGTTGCTTGTTCATCAGTATGTGAATAATTATCCCAAACAAAGGAATCAAACTTGATTTGAAGTCTGTTTGCTTTGCCATGTAGAGTAAGTGATAATATCTAAACGTTTGGCTGTAAGTACCCATGCTTGAATCTAATTTACAAAAAAAAAAAAATGCATAACTTAGTACATCGTTTATTTCTATCTATTGCTGATAGGAAACATGTTTGTTTGTAGATTGGACTCATAAGAATAGTTTACAAACTGCACAGAATTTATATAAAAAGAAAACTGAAATTAAGTACACATTTTCCAAGCCACTTTAATGAAATGTTGACTCAAGAGTCGCATGTTCAACTTCTTCACATGACAGAAGTACATATTTTTAGGTTATAACACACTGCAGATGCACTAAGCATGAATTTTAAACCAAGTTCCCCTGATAGCACAGCTGTTGAAGAGGGCCATCATTTGACAGAATGAAACAGTTTGTGAGCCACCTGAAGGAAGACAAGACAGAAAATTAACTTAAGTTAGGTAAACCAAAACTCTCTACAACAATCAGGTTAAAGTAATAAAAACAGACATGTGAAAAAGTTCTTTAGAGAAGATATTTGGTATTATTAAATATAACTCAAAGCTGTGACTTGTTATAGGCTTTTTTAACCCAATCACGGTATTCTATAACATGGGTAATTTGGGTTTGTGACACTCATGATCTTATGCATCTTTGCTTTTACGTGTCATAGTATTATTTTCCTCTTGCTGTAACCAGTATAAATAATACTCACACAGTGGTCGCGCGCATGCAAGAAGTCAAACAGCTCCTCAGTGCAATCCTCCTCTGTCGAAGACCGAGAGCCAACTCTGTTCTCACACGCCTCCAGACGCTCACGAGTGTGAACGCAGTGCTCAGCTGCCTCACACTTCTGTCTTATTGTTTCAAGAGGATCCTGTAATAAAAATAAGCAACAATAGCACAATCCAGGAAAGATCACAGTTAAATGCTGTGCTAATAGAATGTGAATTAAGATTGCAAAAAAAAAACTGAGATTTACATAATTATGATTTCCTGTACAGGAAACATTTTCAGTGAACAAGCTAACATATCAACTATGTGCTGAATCCGTAGCACACAAAATTAAATGTGGCAGTGTGGACGTCGTGTCACAGTGTCCCTATTGACCATGCGCCCTGGCTACTTGGCCAAGGAGATGTCCCTTTGGCTGACTGGTAAGCGCTCGTGACTCTCTCTCGGGAGTCTGGGGATCAAATCCCGTCCGGGCCCTCGTTTCTCCACCTTGCCACATAAATACTTGTGTTGAAGGACTTACCACCATTTCCTCTTCCTCCTCCTCTTCCTCCTCCTGAAACACGTCATAACCAAATCAATGACATTACATTTCTCCCAATCACCAGACAGTATTTAGCAATCTCTTTCGTATTTCTGAACCTTATCTTACCATTAGAAACGATCAAAGAAGGCTTAGCGTCACTCAATAAGGTGCTAACAACTGATAACGTTAGCTAACGCTAAATGCTGATGTAGCCTAGCTAGCTGTGGGTACTTAGCTTATTTACTAATCAACGTTCTAAGTCTGTAATAAATACTGACCTCTTCGGGCTCTCCGTTCGTAAGCATCTTATCTTCAATAACCATAATGTTGCTGTTTTTATTTGCTTTTTCTGTCAAAAATTCGAATCACAACTGGTAAAGGACACCGAGCAGGTCACAAGCAAAATCGGAAACACGTTGTTAGCCGGCGAAAACAATCTACGTAGTTTCCGGTTATTACACTTCAAAATAAAACGTCTCAGTACCGGAAGTGTCATAACCAAAAGACTTTTCTGTAACAGTTTTTGAGTTGCATCCTATATATGTATATCGATGGTTACATCATAGAAAATTGTTATATGGGATTAGATTCAAGCCAATAGGATAAAGAAAAACACGTTGAAGATCAAACAAATATTAAGACATTGAAGAGAAAAAAAATCATTTCAAAAGAAAAAAATCAGCTTGTTACAGCCCAGCTCCTGGGACTGCAACAAAAGGAGGAGGTCAGGACACAAGGTTCATGTTTAAGAGTATTTTTTTTTTTATTAAAACCAAGCCTCTAAAAGGCCTCACCAAAAATGCCACACAGGCAAGAGCTACCAAAGGTGCTCCCTCTGATCAGCCTCAACTCCTGATTCTCCTGAGACCCTCCAACTTGCACTTGGCGGCCTTTTTTGGCTGCACAGGTGCAGCCACTCCTAAAATCCAGGCTGCACACAGCCACACCAATAACAAAGCAGAAGGGAATCAGCAGAAACATCTGAAGCAGCCAATCAGCTGGTTGCACTGGCACGGCAGTTTCCTAAGAGGATGGGTTCTTCGTTTTCTTCCAGTAGCAGGGGTTGTAACACAGCTTCTTAAAATGATCAAGAAAAACACTTTGACGATCAAACAACATTTAAGAAATTGACAGAACATATCGACTAAAGGAAAATTAAATTGTTTCAAAAGTAAAATTTACTATCTGAATCAACTTCTTCAAATGACTAATAAAGTATGTTTCCTTTTTCTGTTTGCCTCTATGTATTTTTGTTATCAATTTCCTTTGTTTCACTGTTGTTGCTCAGAGCTTTGCTCTCACTACCAGATTTGCACTTACACTTCCTGGCTTTCTCCTTTGCAATCCCTGAGATTTAGGTTGCAATTCTGACACAACCCTTTCGAGTGGGTGGTGAGTGGTGAGAAGTCGTCTCCCATAGGACAGCCCCCCCCCCTCTCCTTTTTCAATCAAACAAATAGTTTATATGATGCAACTCTGACTGAATAATTGTCTAAGTGAATATGTTTGAAAATAAAGTTCTTACTAGTGTACAGATCTGACATTACCAGTATGACAGGATGTCTGACTCAAACTTGTTTGACCCAGTTTCCGTAGCCAGAATGACGTTGAATTCTGAGATGCTGAACAGAACATATTGGTGATTAAAAGGAGTTTGATGGAATTTCTGTTTGCATTAAAATGTCAGGCCAACGAGCAAGGCACCACAGGGAGTTGAACCCCGTCTCATTATTGAGAGTACCATCACCGGTGCTTCAGCTTTTGGTTGTGACATAAAAACATGAAGCCGAATCTGCATCAAGCATGTTTGTGATTTAGGCTTAGTCCACACCATAGACTGTACATACGTAGCCGTTTTTTTTTTAACGAATACCCACCCCTCCAAAAACTTGCATCCACACCACCTCGTTTAAAAAAAAAAACTCTGTCCACACGTACCCGGATAAATACGTTGTTAAGGACATGCCAGACCTGTAGGAGGCAGTACTTCCCTCTGTTCTTAACCTTGTCCTTCGTCTGTGCTCTTCCGCAAGGAGCAGTAATTCTGCTTGCAAACACATACAAGCAAAAAGCGCTTGGACAATCGGTAAAGCGAGCGCAGCTCTGAGGGCATCCATGCTGTTGGCTAGTGTAAACACAGGTCGCACACGTGATGTCAGCATTTTTTGTCGCGGAAAGTGACGTTGCGGACCTTAATACTCCGGTTTTGTCTGTCCACACGCAGACACCCAAAATGGAGAAAACACAGATCTTCACTTTGGCCGGAGTTTTTAAAAAGATTCATTTTCGTGTGGATGACAGGCCAAAACGTAGAAAAATATCTACGTTTTGGCAGATCCCCGGCTACGTGTGGACAGGGCCTTAGACTGGTCATTAAATACTGACTCGTGATTTTGGTGAAATGTAACGTGCTTACTGTCTTCTTTTTTAAACAGAATCACTTTTAGTCTGACCCCTCACCTGAGACCACGTTGTCATGGGAGACCACACCAGAGACTCCCTGATAACCTCTGTCACGATTTGAGGATAGTTAGGACCCAAAATGCAGACACCCAGGATGACACGAGGCAGGAGTGAAGGTAAGAAAAAATTCTTTATTGGATGAGCCAAGAAAATAAAATAAATCCAAAGGCTGGGAGCCAAAAATCCAAAACTGTCCAATTACCAAACTAGAGACCAAAACACTACAGACAAGAGAAGACTGACAGAATACCACAATGAACCGACCCAACACAGAGACAGGGCTTATATACACTGGGAGGAGCAATTAGGGAAACAGGCAGCAGGTGTGTGGAGTGAGAGATGGAGGGAAAGCAGGTGAATACAATTTATCTAAATGGGGAACAGAACCAGAGGAGGGCAGATAAACCTAAAACTATAAAACACCTAAAGACTGAGGGAAGGACTCACACACACACACACACACACACACACACACACGCACACGCACACGCACACACACACACACACTACACCGAGCTGGGGAAGGACACACACACACACCGAGCTGGGGAAGGACACACACACGCACGCACACACTGAAATAAAAGACCTATATAAACTGAGGTGGGGAAAATAAGAGCCATGAAGAAAACCAGGAGGGAGCTGGGGATGACTGAATGAACACAGGACCTGGGAGGAATGATTTAAAGGGCTACAAACAGAAGACACATAAATGAGACGCAGGCAAAGGACACATGAGGGCGCTATGAGACACAAAAGGGGAATCTAGAGAGGGGTGGAGAACACAAGGAGACACATGAGGGAAGACGCAGACCATGACAACCTCAGACCTCAGTATCACGGGGGTACGCAAACCCCTCCACCGCATTAAGGTGGTGATTCATCGAAGGGGAGTGTATTTTTATTTTATTTTATTTTATTTTATATTTGTGTTTGTGTCAGATTTATTCTAGCCTGGCCTACCAGACTCATCCTCAAAGAGGTCTGTGCAGAATTAAACAAAGGATGAGTCTGGCAGGCCAGGCTACTGTTATTCTGCAGAAACTAACTGATTTTGAACTGATTCCTTTCATTTAGGTCTAAAACTGATTGTGGACAGCTTCAGAGGACGTTGGGACAGAAGCTAATTAAATTTCTTCAGGAGAAATAAACATCATCTCTTGCAGACAAGCGGAGCAGATCCATCAGTATTTTAGGATGTTGGGTTGGGGGCAAACTGGAGCACCCAACCCCACGCAGCACAAGGAGACATAGAAATGATTGGACGGGTGTTTTCTGTGAAATAGTCCTTGTGTTGTCTTTTTATTTTTTTACAGAGGTGTGTGTCAGGAAAGGGATTTTTACTCACCCTGGATGGACGTGCTCTTCTAGAGGTTTCACTAATAACCAATAAGCTAAAACTTTATCTAAAAACTAATAACATAATAAAATATCCATTACCTAATAAACTAAAAAACGGTGCCAGGAGACTACAAACAAACTGACACCCTTACTTGTGGCCTTTGGTGAAGGGCCCAAAATCATTGGTGGATCCCCTGAGATAGAGTATCTACATGCAAGAGCCAGGGGTGTCTACAGGCAGGTGTCAGATGTTTAAGGTTGCTTCCTTTTTTTCTCCTGCAATAAGTTTTTGTAGGAGTTTTGATTAAGTAGAATCCATGATTTCAAAGGACAAAGCTGTTCGTAGGATGTCAAATCTGTTTTTAGTCTCAAATCCACTCTGCAGGTCAGCAAGTGTTTCCAAATCTGAGGGAGATTGAGCTCTGACGACTTTCTTCTTTTTGTCTAGTTTCTTTTTTCCTTTGGGCCTAGTTGGAAGAACCATTGGTTCTTCTCGTACTAAAGGTACAGAGCTTTCCACGACCTCTGAAGGTTCCTCTATAAGTGGTAATAAAACTTCATGCTGCTCTGAAACTGGCAGATTTAGACCTGAATCTAAATCTGTAGTTAGAGGAGCAGGAATGTCATTTTGGTCTGAAACTATGTGATTTTGCAGAGCTTCAAACCCAGAGGATGTTGGGACAGAAGGTAGTTCACTTTCTGCAGGAATAGCTTCTGTAACCAGTTCAATGGTGGAGTGGTTTTCAGTCCTTTTCTTCTTGTGTCTCTTACCAGAAGTCTTCTTAATGTGTAATGTTTCCTCTTCTGGCTTGGTGACGTTAGACAATTCGACCTTCTAAAAATCCAAATCTGTCAGAAGAACATCAAACCTGTTTTCTGTCTCAAACTCAGCCAACAGGTCAGGAAACGATAATTTCTCCAATGTTTCCAGATCTGAGGAAGTTTGAGGACTGGAGATGTTCTTATTTTTATCCTGTCTCTTCTTTGCTTTAGACTTAGTAGGAGAAACGTGTGGTTCCTCTTGTTGTAAATGTTGAGATGTTTCCAGACGGCTGTGCAGTGGTTAGTGGTTAGAGCTGTTGCCTTGTAGCAAGAAGGTACTGGGTTCGCTTCCTGGCCTGGGATCTTTCTGCATGGAGTTTGCATGTTCTCCCTGTGCATGCGTGGGTTCTCTCCGGGTACTCCGGCTTCCTCCCACAGTCCAAAAACATGACTGTTAGGTTAATTGGTCTGTCCAAATTGTCCCTAGGTGTGAGTGTGTGTGTGTGCATGATTGTTTATCCTGTGTGTCTCTGTGTTGCCCTGCGATGGACTGGCTCTCTGTCCAGGGTGTCTCCCGCCTGATTGCCCGTTGATTGACCGCTGGAGATACCGCTCCCTCCCTCTAGTTTTTTTTTGTGTCCTGTGTCTTGTCTTGTGCTTGTGGTTGTTTGTTCTTGTTTGGGCGTCTGGTATCCGCCCCTTGTGTGTGTGTGTGTGTGTGTGTGTGTGTGTGTGTGGGGGGGGGGGGGGTGATGTCATGATCTGCATCTGCCCCTTTCTTCATGTGCCTCCTGGTGTCCTCCATCCCTCTCTGGATTCCTTTTTGTGTCTCTTAGCACCCTCATGTGTCCTT